CTCCAATGTGACCTTCAGACTAACATCTGTTTCAAATTCCAATAAAAATTGATACACTTGCTATCCATGTGTATTGCTCATGGACAAAAATGTAAATTCACCATTCATATCATTAGGTGACATGAGCTTTTTGCACTTTACACCCCGAAAGATGTCTCAATTTCTACTTTATATTTCAAAAGATTATTTTTCTCATATTGCACATGAATGTTATAAATTAGCTCCAATGTGACCTTCAAACTAACATCTGTTTCAAATTCCAATAAAAATTGATACACTTGCTATCCATGTGTATTGCTCAAAGACAAATATGTAAATTCACCATTCATATCATTAAGTGACATGGGCTTTTTGCACTTTACACCCCGAAAGATGTCTCAATTTCTACTTTATATTTCAAAAGATTATTTTTCTCATATTGCACCTGAATGTTATAAATTAGCTCCAATGTGATCTTCAAACTAACATCTGTTTCAAATTCCAATAAAAATTGATACACTTGCTATCCATGTGTATTGCTCATGGACAAAAATGTAAATTCACCATTCATATCATTAGGTGACATGTACATTAATTTATAACGGAATCTGAAATGAATGTTAGTTCGAGTGCTACATTTGAACTAATTAATAGCATTCAGGGTACAACGTAAAAAAAATAATCTTTTGTGGTGCAAAGTGAGAATCGAAATATTTTTTGGGATGCAAAGTGCAAAAAACCCAAGACTATTTTGATAGTAATCAGTAGATCTACGGTTCGAGGAAGGCGCAGGCAACTCAAACTCATGAGTCAAATCTGCATCTTTGGCGTAGTCTACCATCTCCAAATGGGGCGCAAGAAAAGCCCAAGACTCGCTTTCGGGCAATACCGATTCCTACGTCACACCCCGAAGACCAACTTTAGCCATCTACTGGGCCTAAGGTTGGTATTTACAATACTTTCACTCTCTCTCTCAAAAGATCCAACACAACACTTCGGTTTAGATGAAGAATAAGTCGGGGCAAAAATATTATTGGGGATTCGGATCACTTCTATTACCCTAAATTTCCCTCAATACAATGCTGATGAATCAGATGTATAAATTTTTTAATTTCAATGGACAATTTTTTTTGTTATGAAAAACTCCTTTAATAATGGTCGACACTTTTCAAACAATAAAATGAATAAAAAAAATCTTAAACACTGTATTAAAGAAAATTGAATAAAATTGAATGAATAGAGTAATGAAGCATATCTAAATCCAAATATTGTAATTTGATTCAATATTTTCAAGCATAATTAAAGAACATTGACCAAAAATTGTGGCCCAAAATCGGATTAAGTTGCTTTGGCAAGCATGCACCTTGGGAATAACATGTCGTTGCCCAGTAAAATGAGAAAAAGGAAATCAACTACATTTATTCAAAAAAAAAAAATTCTTTTATCTTCTAGAAAAAAGCAGCTCGAAAATGTAACAACAATCCATTAGTTTTTTGGTAATTCTTCAAGTTTGATCTCCTAGAAGATGCAAAACGGCCAAAAGTCATAACACTCACTAATTTGAAAAATTCTGGAGTCAAAGCACATGCCTTGTTCAAGAGGGAAGAATCGCAAGATTGGATAAGACACTTAAAGCTCAAATCTCACCATCAGTGGTTTGCGGTAGGAGAACACATCTTCCTACCTAAAAATAACCATGGCTTGCTCAGGACTCAAAATCTCAGAAGATGGTAATGGTTGGTCTATTAATTTTGACAAAAATCACAACTTCAATCCTTGCATAATTAAAAGTTTGACGGAAACCAAATCCTACATCATTCATGCCCCTAATAAACTTAAACCATCCCGCACAAATATTGAAAATCAAGATAAAATCTTTGGATTGGCATCAAGGATAAAATGCTTGACAAGACACAAGATTACCAAGGCCAATCACTGCTGCCGGATTTCGACTTTCTTCTTCTGCCAGAGCCTATCAAGGGCACTATCAGCATCTCCCTGAAAAAAGGGAGTAGCAAATTGAACAATTTTAGTCGAGCATTACATAACAAACCTATCACTGTAGAATAACTCAACAAAAGATGTCTATACATGGCTCCAGACTTCATAATCAAGAAAACCAATATGATATGTAAGCTAAATAGTAGACAGTTGCTTATACAATTTTAGAACCTACACAACAACACAATGGATCCCGGCATTGGTAGACAGACACCCCCTATGGCAGCAAAGGGTATATAAATACTGGGAGTATCAGAAATACAGCTTGCTCATTCTAAAAGCTTTACAAAGAAAATTTAACATCATCATGAAATGTATGAAGCTATCTGGGCAATGCAGTGCACATAAATATATATGATATTTGTGCATATGTATATACATTGTTTTTTAACTGTAAAACAAAACACTACTGAGCATAAAAGCAGAAGTTAAAACGTGGAGAGAAATCTTGTACTAAACAGACAAGATATAAATTTAGTTAGGAGAGATACAATTTGTACACAGGCCAAGTGAAATGATTATGAAAGTTATTTGAGTAGCATCACAAATTTGCACATTCATCACGCACTAGCAAGAGCCTATGGTCACAATGAGCAAGAGTCCCCAACTCTCATTTATGTATTCAATTGACTTACTTTATAGTGTCCTCTTAATTGAAAACAAAAGACAAACTGGTTTTCCTCGATAATAAAAAAATCGGTTGAGTATGACAAAGTCTATGAAACACAGATATTTCATCAAGATCGACATACCTGTATCAGACACTATCGGATATAATACTCAAGAATACTTATCGAATATGCATCATACATATCCAATAAATAATAAAATATGTAAATACTTCGAGAATATTTCTAAACATAGAGCAAACTGTAAAATTTTTAATTTTAATCTATACGCACTCATTTCGAGTTCACATACAATACAAAATATCAATAAAATTCCATCTAATTTTGAAGAAATCAGTGTTTTTTTAAATATTATATGCTATTACATGTAACACAGAATAAAAAAATGAGTTAGTTACACTATAATTTTAAAATAAATACTTGTAAACATAGTTGTCAAATCGCGTATTGGAAGACGTATCATTTTTAAAAAATAGTGTATCGTATCGTATATCGTATGATACGCACAATTTTAACTTTTAAATAATTATTAATAAAATATATATATATACCTTTGTAAAAAAGTCATAGACTCATATTAATATAACATTTCATTAATATTCTACCAACTATTCAATTTTCCAACATACTTCAGTAATATCAAAATAAAAAGGCCTCTAATTCAAACTTTTAACATCAACTGCTTGAATAACCTTAATATTAATCAGGAATTTTGAATTCAATTCAACAACATTAAGAAGAGACTTTATTTTATTTTTTGTAAACTATAACCACCGAAACGACGTTATTTCACTGGTTAGATATTTAAAAATAAGTCATAGGGTAAAATAATGTCATTTTAGCCCCAAAAAATAAAAAATAAAAAAAATAGAATCGTCACGTATCGTATCCTACGTATCGTGTTTCGTACGATACAGAGACATGATACATATCATTTTTTAGGTGTATCATGAAGTATATGTATCATATCGTACCCGTATCGCCGTATGCGTATCATATCGTACCCGTATCATATATCCCTATTCATGCTTCCCAGCGCAAAAAGTTACTAGGCATATCGCAAAAATCCCAAAGCATGTCCTTATCAATGTTCTTTTCTTACGGGCAACTAATGGATTACAACCATGTGGATTGTCCCCATAGCACATTAACTCTCGAGATTTTGGATACCTATGCATAACCCTTATGATTTTGGGGAAACACTAAAACTATTGGGTTATCTTTCCAATTACAAAATGTGTAAAACTGACTCATTTCTATACCATACACCCGTTGATCCTTCTTGGACAAGGTCACTCCTTGTTCCTTATCAAAACAAGATTATGCTACAAAAAACTCACCACTTAACAACCCAAAACAAAAATGATACATCGAGACTATAACAGATCCAGCTGCATTCTTGAATAGGGAGGATAAATCAATTCAAAGACCATGTCTTTTGAAATGAAGTGGAAATCGGATAGAGGAGATTTATCCTCCAAACTTTGGGTAGATTTACAAATTGCTCCCAAAAAATTTAGATATCCATTTTAAAACATTAATTAATAACATAAAACAAATCATCACTCAACAACTCGGGAAGACATATCAACTCTTTTGGAATGGGAGGAAAAGGCATCAACGCAAAAGTTAAGACTAACCATTCTTATAATTTGAAACTTATTTTTACACTATCAAAAACTTGTTAAGCAGAAAATGACAACAGTAAAAGGAAAAAAAAAAACATGATTTTCCATAAACTTGGGCTGATTTCAATGATTTGAAATTATTAAGATTCAGAAGGAAACTTATAGTCAACCCCAAATGATTGGGACATAAGGCTTGGCTTGGTTTGATTTGGTTTGGTTAGGAGGAAATTAATACCACAAGTTAAAGAAGTTTAAACAATCTGTGGCCTATATATTAAATAAGTGCACGTACTATCATAAAGATTTCAAGACAAAAGCTGATAGCAAAAAAAGTCATCCAACAAATGAACCAAACCTCCACGCCCACATTCACCCACAACTACGAGAGAGAGAGAGAGAGAGAGAGAGAGAGAGAGGATTGCCCAGCACACAAACAAAAAGAACCCAAGGCAGAATGAAGCAATGCCAAACACCATTGTACTTAAGCAAATAATCAAACAGCAAATACTTGTACACAGTTTGCAGCCTCATTCCCTCCAACTACTCTAAGTACAACAATAAGGCTAGTCATACTAAAAAGCATAATGAATATCAGTAGAAGCATATTACAAACAGCAACAATAAGAACCATTCATACTCTGTATACACAAATGGCAAGGCAATTGCACCAACATACAAAAGGACAATTAAACACACACTAGTTCTTTAAATACAGGCTACAGCACTAGATCTTTCAGTACAAAAGAAACTAAAGAATAAGAACCTGGGCCCGGACAAAGCCACAGAGAGCAAATGTGGAGAATTGACCAGTGTATCGGCCAGTTTCATCCAAATGTCCAACATTGATCTGCACAGAAGCATGATCCTTTGAAGTGATCAGTCTGTTTGTGGCAGAGCTGCAAAAGCATAACAAATGATGGGTAAATCACTAATACCAAGTTAGTTGAAATCACGATGAGACTTAATAGATCAGTAACAATAAAACAACCATACCACTTCCTGGGGATGTAAAGATCCATGTTTTGTCCCTCCTCGTTCTGCATCTTGTTAGATTTTTCCAACCGCCACTAAAATTCCACAGCTAAAAAAAAAAACTGACTTCGGAGGTACCAAATCAGACACTTTCAGTAAACAATCTGAATAATCAAATTGTATTGAATAATAAAATTGTATTGAATAAACAAACTTAATATACATATTTGAGCTAATACATAATATAAAGAAAACCATTTAAGAAATGAAACTGTATAGTGTGCCATTGAGATTATGGTCTAAATTCTTCCTCATCAATTATTATTCATAATCATAAAAGAAATAGAATGAGTTTTTTCAACAATTTCATAACAAAAAGTTGTATCATTCATGAACACAAAAAAATAATAAAAAGACTATGGATCCATTGAGTTCCCGAATAAACAGAAATCACTCAATTTTTTTTTACAAATTGGTTGTAAATAATGGATTATGTAACATTCTAATTATTTATCGCTGTGAGTGATTATAATAATTACGTACATCAATGACAAGGCAAACAGTGGTTCATGCACTTACACACGTAATTTTTTTTTGGAAAGTGATAGTATATTGAAAAGTAAAAGTTATTCACATGTTGAAAAGGGGTATATCCTAGGCAGATACAGAAAACCTATCAACTACATTCAAAAAACCCATGGCATGCAAAAAACAATCTTTTTTTTCTTAATTTCAGAAATAGAAATGAACAAGTGACCAAAACCAACCAGAAAACTCTCATCAAAGACCCAAGTTGACAAATCAGTAACTACAACAAATATCAACAAAATCAGTCCTTGAAGTAACATCATTAGCATTAAGCTTATATACCAACGGGCTTTTGGTTTAATGGTACTCCTTATCTTCCTTACCTTATGAAGGTTTCGCCTTCCTAAGATCAAGGGTTCAAGCCCCCTCCCCTCCCCTACCCCAATAAAAAAAAAAATTAGCACTAAGCTTATATGGTGCGCAGGAAACATAAACGTAACAGAAGCAATAAAATAGCACCAAGCGCCAGTGGTTCAAAACAGTCAATATGTCCCCTTCCCCCATCAGTTCATAGAGAACTGGTTTTCAAGGAAGGTCACCATCCTCCTCCACCTACAGACTACTCTCCGCAACCAGAGATCAATATAGACTACCCAATCATCCATGACAAAAAAATTTCAACAGCCGTGGGTAAAATACTAAAATGATATGTGAACAAATCAATATATAGTATACATAAACTACTGTAAATTATCAGCTGCCTCTATATATTCAAAACAGTAAAAATGAATATGCACTGAACAAAAACACAAATCAATGAACAATACAGGAGATTTCGTAGAGAGGGAGAGGGAGAGAGATTACCGAGAGAAGAGAGAAGGCGACGGCGAGGGTAGGGGGCTTATTGCAGGTTTATATGAGGTCTCACCAAAACCCTAAGCCCTTTGATTGTTTGATTGACCGAAATGCCCCTTCGGCCCCCTTGAAAGGACTTTTTTTTTTTTTGGGTAAAAATCATCAACACCGCCTGAGATTTGGATAAATGACACGAAGACCCCTTGACATTCCAATAATGACACGACCACCGCAATCGGCGTTAAAATATGTTCGACGTTAAGGGAATGGTCAAAATTACATGTTTATCCTTAACTTGAATGCCAAGAGACCCTAGTCTCTTCGTTTCCATCGTTTGTTGTGATTTCTTCGTCAATTGGAGAAGGTATAATTTTTGTAAGGTATTATTTGTTTTTGTGTAAGGTATGATTTTTTCTAACTTTTCATCTCTTCTTTGTATCTTCATCTCTTAAATTTGTCGTTCATGACCTTTACTATCTTTTGGTCAATAATAAAACGTAATCCTTAGGTTTCAACAAATACACTACATCATAAATATGTTATTTTTTAAGCAGTATTACATGTGTTCAAAAATGGATCAGAAATGGATGAATATCATAATATTGTTGTGTACTTTAGAGAAAATATTGGCACCATATATGATGTGGACCCAGATAGATACAGTCACTAGGATTTAGAGGATAAACTTGGAGAGATGTGGATGGGTGACATGCAACCATTAAAGCAACTCTTGCATTCACTATATCTGTTGAAAGGCCAAATGGTATTGGACAAATTGTGGTAAGGATTTACTTAAAGTTTTTTCTTTGTATGGATATAGTAGGGAAATACATGCCTTTATGGATGTCATAGTTGGGATACCAGGCAAATCTCCCAGTTCCTCCAAGTTCAGGGAACGAGGGTGTAATTCATACAAATGTGGAGATTGGTATTGCATCCAGACAACCACACCAGCACCAAATAGGGAAACATAGGTTGGGAATGATAGCAATGATGAATACGATGACAATGTGTCAGGTTTAGCTCTGAGGATGAAGATTGGAGGGCTGGGGGTGATGATATACCTAATGTTAGGCATGAATGTCAATATATTTGTCATGTTGAAGAAAATAGTGATGATGGATTCTCAAATTATGAATCTGGTGATGAGGGTGTTGCCACAAGCACAGATACAAACATTGATGTTGATGAAGAATCAAGGGTTAATAGGGAAAAAAAAAAGAAGTCTACCATGCATGATACATTTGAATATGGGTCTGAGTTTCATGTTGGGGATGGTGGAAACACAGGTTGGGATTTTTTGTGTGGGAATGTTGGGGAATTTTATTTAGGGATGCCTTGAGAGACTATATAGTCATGAACGGGAATTTAAAGGTAATAAGAAAGAAGAATGAGAGGACTAGAGTGACAATCCATTATGTTTGCGGAGGGGTGCAAGTGGAGGACTCATGCATCCCTCTTTCCTAATTAACCCACTTTCAAAGTCAAAAGTTACACACCAAGACCACAACTGCATCAGACATAGGA